GTAATCTGCAGCAAACGCATCATACACACTGCCCCATGTCAATGTCGACATGTCGTAGATGGCAACGCCCCTGTACTCCCAGTCGCAGGCAGAGAGGTCGTCAGACAATGCTCCTCCCACTGTCAACATCTGTCGATTGGCTACCAGGTGACACGTGTGCCCGTAGCGTGGCGATTTTCCCTCGAAGATTTTCGTCCATGTGAAGGACGGGATAGAAAGCACGTAGATCTCGTCGTATAACTTGTTTGCGCCCTTGCCTCCGTACATGTATATATTGTGGCTGGAATTATCCTTCGCAGAGACAGCGACCAAGCAAAAGTCCGTCCGTCCGGCTGGTATGTCCCCTGACGCTTTCTGCGTATACCAGATGCCGTTATCGTCGCCTTCGAAAACGGATGAGATGTCGAAGATATCGATCTCGTCGAAGGGCACCTATTGACAAGTCTGATTAGTGTCAATCAGGGACCGAGCAATAGGTCTGAACATACGTAGGTTCCCTCGTTGGACGCGCTATCGTCACTCGCTGGCTTGGTGACACCGCCCACTGCGACCAATATGCCTTTGGGTCCTATGTCAGGGACGTATGCCATGCCACCCTTGACTCGTGGAAAATTTGCCAGTGAGCTGGTGGATATGTTTGTCGCCATCTGAGTGTTGGTATCAATGACAATCAATCCATCCAGGTAGCGGAGAAGGTTGTCCCATTTCTCCAGGTCATTCGACGTCCCGTTGTTGATGTATCCGTTGAGATAGAAGGCCAGTTCCTGGTCTGGAGCCTCGGCATATGCTCCTCCTGCAGGTCGGTACTCAGCGCCCAGTGTGACGTCAAATTGATTCCAAGAGCCATGGCTGGTGTTGTATGACCAAAGCGCATACTGCGACGAAGTTGGTTTTTGGAAACCAGGAAAACTCGTGTTCACATAAGAGACAGTTCCGCCATATTGGTAAATGCTCAAGTCCGATGACGCTCCTGCATACAGTGCCCCACGAATAACCACGGGCGGATCTGTGCCCGTTTTGGGATTCGCTTTCTTCGAGATGGCCTGGATCGAGATATTCTGTTTCCAGTCCCAAGAAGACGTGAGGTCAACCTCGATCAAGTCGGTGTCTAGGCACGGTCAGCACTTCCGACGCGAGCCTGCTCGAAATTGCACCAAAAGAGCTTACTATATCCGAGCACTCGAGCGCCTTCTGGAGTTCCGTTGTTGTTTTTCCCCACGAAGACTTCAAGTCCTCCGTCGATGTACAGAGTCTTATTCTTCACTGTTGACTGGTGATACAGTCTTGAACAGTAATTGTTGACGGGATCAATTCCTGTCGCGTTGGATGCTCCTCTTGCTAGCGACACAGCAAGCAGCAGTATTGCTATAAGCAACGCAGGCATCTTGGTGTGCCTTCTTGGAGCTATGGTCGTCGTGATGAGCGATATTGCGGCATCAGGGCGAATACCGAGCAGCAAAGGCTCTCTGCGCCCTCGATGGATAGTAAAAGCCGAGCTTAAGAGTCGCACGAACTCGCACCCATCTCCTGCCAAGTATTAGTGTCACCAGCCTGTGCAACCCATCAGTCTGACCTCCTACTCCATCATACTGACCTGCAGGGTATGAAAATCCCGTTCGTGGGTACAGGCCAGCTTTTCCCCGAGGCCAGGCGAATCTGATGGCCTGAATTGAAAGATGTGGTCGCACTACAGATGGAAATCTCCGGAAATAAATGCTGAGACCGCTTATTGCTTACACAATATCATATTGGGGTAAAGTCCAACCGATCCTTCCTGTCAACCTTGTGGCGTACTCAGATGCTGCAATTGACGGTTCGGTCCCTCTCGTCTTTCGGAGAGTCAGGGTCCGTCAATCGCCCCTTGAGCGACGCCAGGACATTTTAGCCCTCGCATCGTCTCTCCAGGCAGGTGCATAACCCGCACGTGCATTTACGCCCCGTCTCATACTGGCCTGTGGCGCGATCTCTAGTTGGGGTGACATCGGCTCGTGTTGGGAAGATCTGACAATGATTGGCGCAACAAGAATGTGCCAAGGTCATGCCAAGGACGGCTTCAACATCGAGGGACTCCGTCCGTTGCAAGCAGGACCGAATTAACTCCGTGCAATCATCAAGTTGAATTTTTGAAGGCTGGGAGAAGCTTGTGTGAAAGGCCAGTGTGTTTCATCAAGGAATGTTTGGTGTTCGTCCTTCCCATTCCTTGGCGGGGATGGCTGAAGGCTTGTTGTGCATGTGGTCCCTTACATGAGTGTATCGAACAAGAAGTCGTTTGACAATAGGCGGGGTAGCTTACAACGCGAGAGGGAGGATGTCAGCAGATTCCAGTGAGTGGGGATATGATAAGTGCTTACTGACAGCTAAACAAGTGTATTGTTATCAACCTGCTTGCTCTATGTTCTGAAATAGTCGGCATATCCTGCGGGAGAAGATCCATCAATCAAAAGATAAGCTTTTCCCGATCACAGACTTGTTGAATGTCCCGAGTATCTGTGCAGGATGGAGTACAGACTGATGGAGTCGTGATCGAGTGCCGTGTTGAGCTCGGTGACATCTTCATGGGCAGAAGATTCCCGTGGTCTGGTGGCCTAAGGCAGAAAGGAGGCTACAGCGGACCAGCCGACTTGTTTGCTATTCTATCCCTAGTTGTCTCTGCATTCATGGCCTTGGGCTCTGCTGGTACTGCAGCGTATTTCCTTCGAATCCGCACCTCGTTGGGCGGCGTAGTTGTTCGTAATAACGCGTCACTTTTGGAATTCTTGATGACTTCAACCAAGCAACGTATCCTGGTCCTGTCGCTACAGTGCTAGTATCGAAGTCTACACCCTCCCGTCTGCCTGTATTGTTTAAGATGACCCCTCCGCTCGACCTTGGTCCCTCGTTGATTCGCCTTGCCTGCGTTCTTTTGTGACGCATACGTTGGATGTTAACGAGTGAGACTGGAGGACAGAGGCATGTTTTCATAGAAATGGGTGTGTTTCTCTTCATCACGTGGGATCTGTTGTACTATCTGTCTTTGGATTTGTCTCTGTGTTTCGTTCCCGGCGCGTCCGAGTACCCTGGAGAGGGCTAGACGTCCACGCATGCTATAACCCCCTTTAATCAGAACTACGACACCAGCTAATGTCGCCAGTTCGTATGTCCCACGATGACGCAGCGTCATATGTTGTATTGTTTTCCCTGTTATATACCGCTGCTGCGTGCCCCCTCTCGTTGGGCTTCGACCCCAATTATCTTGGTTTCCGGTGAATTTCGATATGATCCTTAGTGAATTGATATCAGTAGTCTGCTGTATGAAAATTCCGTAGTTGGGGGCGCGTTCAGGTCGTTTCTCGATCCCGTGATCGATCGCTGAGGTTGAAGAACGAGCCACGTCGTGTGGAAGCCGGGGGGTTGCGTGCATGATGTGCAGTCAGGAGAGCTGTGTTTCTCGATATGATGTTAGTTTGGTATAAGTAGATCAAATGAAGTTGTGTCCCGTGCATCGTGGCCTTTATGGGCTTCAATCTTGCATTGGATCAGTTGGGTGGAAGCTGGGTGACACCATTATCCGCAGTTCCAGTATGCTGATACAGCTAACGACTGAGCGCGGCAAACAGTCGATTTCATTATATGTGATATGTGATGCAGATATTGGGTTGACCTTGTTCCCCTATGTGGTGTCTGTCTGCGGTGGGTTGACTTAAATGGTCATGGCAGAGGCTGCGTGCATCTGCGTGGAGGAGATGAGACGATTTGATGTGTTCGACTTGGGATTGTCGGTCAGTTGAACCCCAAGTTGAACCCGGGTTCAACTCTCCGCCATGCGCGTATCTGTAGTATAACCAGCTACCATCTTTGATTTTTCTTTATCCTCGGCCTGTAGCTCTTTCGGTGACATAAATTATATTTGGAATAAATTATTTCGATGCTCTACTATAAGCTTATCTAGTTTTTTATAGTTGTTACTGCGGCTTTTGTGGTGCAATTCCGTCAGTTGGTCTTTTACGGTCGAACTTGGAGATATCACTCTTACAGCTCTGTCAACGTCGTGTATGGATGATATATCGGGCTTTAGTGTTCTGATATGATCCTCGTATGCTTCTATTGTATTTTATGTCATTTGAAGTGTAAACGGTGTGTATATCCGATTATTTTGTGTCAGTGTTGTCTCGCCCGTATGTTCGTTGTGACTGTATATATAAATCCCTACAACCAGAGCACCACATTCAGACAACAACCAGCACACTCCAACACAACAAGACAAAGTTAATAGTGTTAATAGTCGCAAGCACTATCAAACTACCAGATGATAGATACGAATAAGACCTCTAAAACTACCAGTTCAATGTCTAATAAAGCCGAGATCAGACATACTATCGAACATAGTCCGACGCACCCACTCGGGCATGAAGGTGCAACATCTACACCCACAAGCAAAAACATCACCGCAAAAGACGAATACTAACCGGCCACTACAGAGGCAGCGTTAGAGGGATGCCATCTACAGATACCCTTGGTCACATGGAGAACACATAGTCTAACCCACAGCATGTCATATTCCTGACCAAGTCACTGTATTCGCAGGAACACGATGAGACTCAAGCATAGTCAGACGCGTCGAAGGAAGGCGCAACATGCACAAAGTTACGAGCAACATAGCCTACAAGACCAGAAAGATTGAATGTTTTGACCGTTCGTATTCATATTAGATTGCGTTTGATGCTGCAATCTATTCAAGCCTAGGGCACAGCCAGAAGCATAAAGGCCGCTATGATACAGAAATTCAAACACGAACACTAGCAGACCAGTAGTGGACGCGCAATGGTAGTAAAGTAAAATACGATAAAAGCAAACCCAGAGACCCATGACACTTTAAAAAGATCAAAGAAAACACCACAACGTCCCAGTCATACCGTAAACCAACCCGAAAAAGCAACCCGTCGCGTCACTGCTGCGGAAGGACAATCGACGCGCCGACCGCGCAGGATGGCTGAAAAAAGGAAAACAAGAAGAGAAAACGCTTAACCACCGAAACCGTAGAGGGTGCCTGAGAAGATTGTCAGAGACACGTCAAAAAGCGAAATAACAAGAGATACTCACGTCCTTGTCTCTTCAGAGCATAGACGACATCGAGGGAAGTGACAGTCTTTCTCTTGGCGTGCTCAGTGTAGGTGACAGCGTCACGGATGACACCCTCAAGGAAGGTCTTGAGGACACCACGGGTCTCCTCGTAGATCATGGCAGAGATACGCTTGACACCACCACGACGAGCGAGACGACGAATAGCGGGCTTGGTGATACCCTGGATGTTGTCACGCAAAATCTTGCGGTGACGCTTGGCACCACCCTTTCCAAGACCCTTGCCACCTTTGCCGCCTGTAGAGAAGAGACGCGTCAGTGACTGCGGTCAAGTCGCGTTATGCTTGGGATGAAAAGAGAAACAACTTACGTCCAGTCATGATGATAGATTAAAAAGGACTTTGTGTGTGTTTAAAATAAGTGGAGATGTCGAGATAACGACTTTAAGTGGATGACAGTTGGGATTGATGGAGGAGAGAAGAGCATGAAGAAGTTTGGGACGGGAGATATTTGTATAGAGGAGGGAAGAGCGCGGGGAGGCTACTGGAATCACACGCTAAGAGAAGGATCAGCCAATCAGAGCAGAGGATCCTCGCAGCGGGTTTGATCTCTCGGCAGCGTGACCGAACAGTCAGTGATCCCGCTGGGAAGGTATTGATCCTCACGGAATGCAGCCCAGCCTCTCCGATCAGAGTTGTAAGACAATCAGAAAAATTCCTAAGTACTAGTAGAAGAGTTCCAGATTACCGAAATACTTGACATTCTACACTTGTGGTTGGGATCAAGATGTTCTGGGGTGGCATTCTATATCCTTGATCCTGCGTTCCTATTGGCTGATGCGGGAAGCTGTCTCGCTTAGCGCTCCGAGCAAGGGCCGCCTGCATTTTGCGTACTTTCATGGTTCCTGCCAAAATTGAGTCCCCGAAATCAGGACTTATGGTGTGCTGCTTTCCGACCATTTTTTGTGATCAAAAGAAACCGCGCTAAGACCACCCATTTTTGCTGGCAACCCAACACCACCTCCCAGATCACCACCCCTTCTCGCTTACTACAAATACCTTGCCCCCCACCCACCTCCTCCATCCTTCTTCCATCTACTCACCTCAACGACACTATCGTCATCTCGACCATCGAACTTCCATCAACACCATCACTTTTTCATCAATAAAACAACCAATTCCATCAAACCTAATAATCAAAAATGGCTAGAACCAAGCAGACTGCCCGTATGTATTGACCTCACTGTCGTTTCTCTTGTTGTCGTCGGTCTCTGCCAAGATCGTATCACGGTCGCGTCAGTTGGCCGACACAACCACGCGTCACTAAGAAACATCATCTTGCTAACTGTCTGTCAATAGGTAAGTCCACTGGTGGCAAGGCTCCCCGTAAGCAGCTCGCTTCCAAGGCCGCTCGTAAGGCTGCTCCCTCTACCGGTGGTGTCAAGAAGCCTCACCGCTACAAGCCTGGTAAGTCCTATTATGTGGCGAATATCCAAGAACATGTTCTAATATTTGTCAAAGGTACCGTCGCTCTGCGTGAAATCCGTCGCTACCAGAAGTCCACTGAGCTCCTGATCCGCAAGCTGCCCTTCCAGCGTCTGGTTCGTGAAATTGCTCAGGACTTCAAGTCCGACCTCCGCTTCCAGTCCTCTGCCATCGGTGCTCTCCAGGAGTCCGTTGAGGCCTACCTCGTCTCCCTCTTTGAGGACACCAACCTGTGTGCCATCCACGCCAAGCGTGTCACCATCCAGTCCAAGGACATTCAGCTCGCCCGTCGTCTCCGTGGTGAGCGCTCTTAGATGCATTCTATCTAATGAGTCGTGTCTTTTTCCGGTTGGCTCTTCTGGGAAGGCGATAACGGGGTTCTGTTTCTCTTTTTTCTTATGATCACTGGCGATACATGATGGGTTTGCTTGCTTTCAAATATCAATGGGTTCGGCACTGGGTTTCTAGTTTTTTCTGCACGATGAATAGTAGGCTGCCGATTCAGCGGCTGGGATTTGCTCATGTACATTATGGATCTCTCGAGTTGCTGCCCTTCAGGAAGCATTACGTCGCGGCATAGACGCGAAATGCGAATATCTATGTTTACATCAATTCAACCCAGTCCGTGTCTTTTGCAATTGTTCTTGTGCCACTGTTCCCGTAGCGGTGACGCGCCACGGTCGCAAGTCGATGCGCGTAGTGGTTACCAGGCTCGGTCATCGTAGAACCATGCTTGACGATGACTTAATCGTTACAACGCGAAGAGTCTATTCGACATAGTGCTTCTATTTTATCAACTTCTCAAAGCAATATAGTTGATAGTTGCTTCATGTCTACAGCGAACCTGCACTTGGTGAAAGGACAGTGGCGAATCGTTTGACACAGGATATCTCCTCACATGTTAACGACCAAGTGGATCAAGTCATGAGCGCCTGCGATTCTTAGAATGTATGGGAAATGTATTGATAACTAGGAACTGGAATGATGATGACGTTAATGCTATATATGATGCCAGGAAGACGTCCAGACGGGTCATGGAGTAGCAATGACGACGACGCTCTGCTAGCAATCTTTCCCTCAGGGGTACGGTAGCCTAAACGATACATAGAATCTACTCCCTAAGGAATATTGTTCGGGACACCGAAGAAACTTGCGAGCCTGGCGGCTCTGGTCCGTGTTTCGAGTCTCGCCACTGGCCTCGTTGACGACGTTGTCCTTGCCTCGGTCGGGATCACGAACGGGACGTTCTCAGTTGCGACTTGTGAGCCGGTCGCTCTCCTCAGTCTCCTGTTCCATCGGCCTGTCACAATCGTTGGAAAATAGTCTGGATGAACACAGTAGGGAGATCAGATTGACTCGTCTGGCAGGTAAGCTCTAAAATGTGCTTTTTTCGCTCACGTGAAAGAGCTTCCTATGGAGCATCATCTATTCCATGCTCCAGTACATGTCCCGCAAGAATACGGAAATTATCAGGACTACGGAGCTGCTGCCGATCGCTAGAATGACTATGTTGCTGTAGGATCAAAGGCTGAGAGCACGACCGAGTGGCAAACTGGCCTTTGTTGAATATATAGTTGATTGGTAGGAGCTTTGCGAAACTCGAATTCAATGGCTATAGCAAGGACAAATCACGACATAGCCTCATGTAGACTAGTCTGGTCATAACAAAACATGTACTTTCCTGGAACTTGAGTACTCTGACTCAGGAAAAAGAGCTGTGAGCTGTGTCCTTAGCAAACTCTAAATTCTACTCGCTACTTCGGCCCAAAAACAACACACCATTCATGCATTCGACAACGCTATCGCAGTTTGATTTTCACATGCGTACTAGTTCTTTTCGTGAATAGAAAGTTCACGCCTCTGTATTTCCTGTGCTCCATGTCTGAGGCCCCGTCACCGGTCTTTGAGAAAATAAGCGAAAGACCATGCCGAAAGACCGGTGTGCCACAATGGTCAAGTTCTGGGCATCTTATAATAGACGTATATCATCAGAACAGCCCCACCAAACATGCAACAACCATTCAAACACTGGCTCTTCCAGAATACCCCCGTCTCAATGTCATTCAAGGCAGATGTAACTGGAAAGCCGACCAAAGTCCCCAGCGCCGCCGCAGCCGATGATATACCAATCCTTGTACCGACGAGGTCTTTTTCTGGAGAAAGATGAGGCACAATAATCGGATATAGAACTGCTAGTGGCCCCATGAACAAAGCAATAAGCACCGCCCAGATGATAGTGGAAGCCACTGATTTAACACCAATCCAGCCGAAGAGGAGGACACTGGATGCCAGCGCGAAGCCGCCCATTGTAAGCGCGGGCCCGAATCGCTTTGAAAGTGGCACCGCTAGGTACCGACCAGGAATCGTTGATGCATTACAGATGACTAGGACATAGAAGGCTAGGTTTGAGCTTGCGCCGGCTTTGAACTGGGCAAAGGTGGGGAGTAGAAAGAAGGGGACCCAGTAGGCGATCCACATGAGGAATAGAGCTACGCAGAAGGCCATAAACGCTGGGTCGCGGAATGCGGTGGGATCCAGAAGGGAGCGGACATTATGGGGAGCCTTGCTCTTGGTGTTAGGCAATATGATTGCCATCGCTATAATTAATTCACCCAGCGTCACGAGGCCGAGGACTCGAGTTGCCCACGGGAAGCCGAGCTTGGGCTGGAGTCTCGAGAATATGATGGGGTAGATTGTCCCACCTGCATGTGTGCCTAGTTAGTGAGGATATTGACGGGAAGAAGGGGGGAAGGCATGGAGGACAAACCAACTGCGGTTCCGGAGGTGGCAATGAACATGGCCAATGGGCGACGTTGTTGAAACCTTGATGCAACGAGACTGATGCTGGGCACATATAGGATTGCACTTCCGATACCGACACAAACGCCCTGTGCCAGGAGAATCTGGTAGTACTCGTGGGCTAAGCTCAACATCATGACGCCCAATACTGTGGTTATTGTGCCTATAATTAAGAGCTCCCTGATATATCCACGATCGAAAATGGGCCCCGTTACGACCCCCCCCACTGTAAATCAAGGTTCCGGTTAATCGCGCGGATCTTCTTAACTTCGACCTGGTAGTGTCCTTTTGCCTCCTAGAAGTGTGGTGACTTACAGATGAGAATGACACCCTGTAGCGTGCCGACCCAAGAAATTGTGGTCGAGGGCGTGGAAGACAACAGGGTTGTTTCATAGAAACTTTCGTACGAGCCATAGGCACTCAACAGACCCCTACAATAAAGAAACGATGAGCACTATAGGTTGAACACGATAAGGAGACTTACGCACCGACTCACCATGTTGCTGTGTAAACAAGAAAGGCACCTAACGCCTGCAGCCAGGCGTCCAGGCCCTCATGTCCCTCCTTGGCGACATTTTGGTGTCTGTGTTGTGAAACTGTAACTGTAGTTGGGATGGCTTGGAGACTTTCCGGTGGAGGTTTTGCGGAAGCCATGCGCGGTTTTCAGTGGCAGTGAGACCCTACAGAGCGAGGACATTGTGCGGCGGGTATCAACTGCATGGAAGGCTGGATGAACCAAGGTGGACTTATTAAGAAATAAGCAACTTAACAAGGCAAGGTAATATAAATGATCACTTGCCTACGTAGGTAGTCAACAGCTATATCTAGCCGCGAGATATGCTTTGCATGAGTACAGTGGGGTGCAAAAAGTATTCGACCACCCCTACCTTACCGCCTACTATTCTGCCAGCAGAATACCACCAAACGCGTAGTTATCCATTACTTACCTAGATATCAACAACCAAAATGGGCCATAAAGGCAAAGAATTGACCCCTCAATTACGCTCACGAATCTGTGAGTTAAAGAGCATTGGATGGAGCTATTCCAAGATTAAAGCTAAGCATCCTGACGTGCCTCTTTCAACTATCAAATCAACTGTT